CAACAATCTGCCACCACATTGCCCATTCTTTGCAGGAGGGAAATCCCTGCTGCCTCTGCCACTGCAGCAGCACCTGCTCTAGATATTTTTCTAAACAGGCTACAAAACTTTAGTTTAGTGACTTTTAGTGACAGCATTTTGGGAGGGCACCTATGTAGCAGCTAACAAATAAGCTTGTTTTTTAATTAACTCATTTGAATAAATTTAAGACTGATTTTGAAATTATTAATGCTAGTTTCAGATTCCCCCTTACACCTAAGCTTACAGTAAAGTTGCCAGATTCTGCTCTCTGGAGCACACAGCACTGCAGAGTTGGGCAAAGGAGGGGAGCAGCAAAGCTCAATGGCAAGCACTGTACAGCCCTCAGTTAGGAGTTGTGACCTTACCATGGCCTTTTAAATGAGGTAATAAGAGTTTGAAACTGCATGGAAGGATTTGGGACAGGCAAGCAAGATGAGAGAAATCTTTTCTTTTTTTTTTTAATCACACCCAAAATGTCTCCACCTGGTTACATATGAGGCCATAAAATATCACCAATTACAAGGGCATTTCTCCCCTGGAACCCCATTTCAGAAAGGAAGTAGAAATCCACAAAGGTACTCATTACACTTAATACCTTCACTACCATCTAATTTTTTAGACCATGTTATGAACTCCCCCATTAAATGCAAGTATTGCAGACCAGTTTCAATTAAGATTATAATCACTTGTTGACATTCAGTCAAACTTCTCAATTTGTTTTGGTTTTAAAAACAATATAATACTTGTACAGTCTTCAGGCAGGAAAACCATATGTTTCCCCTTTAAGTACCCTTTTAACAATGCAAGTTATTCATTGAATGAACCAACCTGCCTGAAAAAATTAAAAAGACAAAATTGAAACCTTCAGCTTTCACGTCCATAACTGATGTTATCATAACCGATTCGAAGATTGAATTAAGGCAAATGAACGTGACGTGGAGTAATGTGAAGTGCCAATGTGAAAACTTCAGTCCATCTAATTAACCTCTTCTCACTTCCCATTTAAAACTAATTATCTTAAATGAGCCATTTAACAATTCTGAACACAATAAAAAGACAAACGGCTGCAAAATGTTAAATTGGACGAGAAGGAACTACTCGGGTTTATTTCCTTGTAAAAGCAATCACCTCTTCAATGACAGAAGTGGTAACTTTACTTCAGCCTTTGACCTTCCAATGTATGAGTAGTGACATTTCCACTTCCCTACAATGGGCAAGGTTCACTCTCTGTGCAGAGGAACACCATTTTAGAGGGATGGGCAACTTTTCCCACTAGTTATTTAGGAACACTTTCTGTATTCAGGCCTCTCAGATAGCTGATGTGTAAAATGATTGCTCTTCTACCTGGCAAGCTGTATGACCAAGAGGCACTTCTCTCGCCAGAGGATTTTTCACTGCCAGGGGATTTCTTGTTTGTTTGTTTTTTTTCACTGTCACCCAGTTTGCTGCATTTAACTAAAACATACATTTATTAGGTAGATTAATGATTCATAATATCAATCAAATGAAAATCAACAGTAAACTAAGTTTTCAACTCCTCTGTATTCTTTTACCTCCCAGCTCTCCCGTTTAAGGCTCATGCTGAATTTAACTTCCTTTTTCCCTATTTTCTTTAGGAAGGAACAGACAAGTCTTCCTGATTCTCAAAGTCCAAAATCTGCCTTTTGCTGTTTTATCAGAAGACAACACTCCTCTGCAGACATTCATCCTGTGCCTCCCCCCAGGAAACCCAGGCCTGGGCTTTTCACCTAGCCCAGCATGGAACAGGAGTCCCTGGGAAGGACACTCAAACAGAACGTAACAAAGGAAAAACTCCTGAAATCCCATGGTGCAGCACTTCTACCACTGAACTGTGGCCTGGCTGGCTATTGATTTTCAAGTTCGTTTCTCTCACAGAAACTTTCTCCCAGAGTTCTTACACTTCGGATGGGCAATCCAAGGTCTTAACAAAGAAGGAATCACTCATGACACAATTTAACTACTGGAAAACTCTCCAAATACCAAAATGAGAAATGAGATTAGTAACTTCACAACCATAATGGGGGGAGTAAAAAGGAAATACACTGAGTCACTTGACAAATTACTTCAAGAGGAAGTGAAGACTAGTAGGGCTGGAAACCAGGAATCCTGCTATAAAGCAGTCAGACACCAGGCTGAACAAAGTTGTGTAACTTTTTCCTCAAGCCACATTCAAAACAAAACAAACCAAACAAAAAAAATACACTCTAGTCCTAATATTGTTTGATCACAAAGACCAGGCTAGAGATCTTAAAGTCAGCAGGGATGGAAGCAAAGTGAAATAAATGGAAGTGTCCTACTACTACAGAAGAAATTGTTTACTTTAAGGGAGAACAGGAAAAAAGGCATTCCCTGTATGTCCTGTAATTAAAAGTACATCAACACAGAGCACTTTAGAGGTGCTCTGCTTTCTGACTGACTTTCAGCTCTGTTGTGAAAAATAACAGGTACAAGAGCAGGCATCAAATTCTGGGGTTTATACTATGGCAGTTCTTGTAGTTTTGTGCAGACTGATATAAGACACAGCTGCCTAAAATCCTAACAAGCAAGTCTGAATTCGAGTAAGGTCCTGGATATTTGCAATTTCCCTTGTGGAAAGCAAGTGATATACTGACCACTTATACCTTAAGGAGGAATATTTAGCTAAACTTCTTAATTATAAGAATTTATACTTGCCTTAATGCCATTTCCCACAACGAGGTGGAAGTGTCCTCTGTGCTCACAGGAAGAATATCAAACAAAGTTATTTTTAAATAACTCTACACTGTAACAGAAGCTGTGAAACAAACTGACATCATGACTAATTGACTGGAAAAAGCTCATCACAAAAATTGAATTAGCTAATGCAGAAAGGTATAAACCAAGAGTAAAGGGGATGCTTTCAGGAAGCACAACCCTTGGAATATGCTGAGGCCCTGCAGTCTACAGCAATGGAGTTTGTTTTGTCTCAAAGAAACATATCTACATGAAGGAACAATATCACTCAAAAAAAATTCAAAAGAAGTCACATGAAAATGTGAGCATAGTAATAAATCTTTTCATTTGGAAAAAAAAAGAAGTAAGCAACACCACCACTTGCATTTTGAAAACATTTTCATCAGCACTGTTGAAACTAACATGTTAAAAGTTAAAGCACTCAGCTCCTGTTCTGTAACAAATATACAGTGTTCATAATTGCATCCATTTGTGTCTCATATTCACTCAGACACAGTTCCTTAATTCAAGCTGAAATTAAATCCTAGATAGCAGTGACAGTGGAACCCCAGTGCACATAAACATAATGCAACTATTATTAAGTGGTCTTCCTTTTATATTACTGTAAACTGAGTTTTATTCCTCAGCTACAAAATATCCTATTACCCACAGACAAATTACTGTGAAGCCC